CCCCCCCCCCCGCACACACATGCACGCATTTCCAAATTTACATAAGCATTTTTCATTGACTTCTTCGCGTAAAATCATAGCAGTCTTCTTTGGATGAAGTCGCTTTTGTCAAGGTCATAAACCCGTGGGCAGGAAATGAAAAATCACGCGCATTTCATCCCCATTTGATTGAAGTTTGGAGACATAAAAGCCGGATGTACTCCTCCGGTTCCTACCTTCCACTTCCAGCATGACGAAAAGCACAGTGTTAATCCAAAACGGCCCGAGGAGAGGCTCTGCAGCTTGTTTTTTTGGGTTCTTGTTCGTGTTCCTGTCTGTGTGGTAGTAAAGTGATCTGAATGAGACGGAGCAGAGCTGTACTACACCGAGAGGCGGAGAGGCTGCTTGCGCACACTCTGACGCGCGCAGGGAGAGAGAGATGGAGAGGAGACGCATCCAGAATATTCATATTTTATGTTTCGTTCATTGCCAAGAAATGGGTGTCTGGATTTGATCTGGATGCACACTGAGAGGTAATAAAGCCCGTGACGACTTTTAGAATCAAGATGATTTAGTTAATAGACATTTAATGTCAATTTGTCACAGCAGCCATCTTGAGTTAGCATCAAAGTTCATGCTCAATAATCCAGGTAAAAATCCAACAGCGTTCAGGTCATATGGACGCTTTCTTCTTTTTTTACAGAGTTTTTTTCGTCCTTGATCCAAAGGACTTCATCAATCCGAGGAGCCACAAACAAACTGAGTCCCACAAGCAGCATAGTGGAGAAAAAACAAACAAACAAACAAACAAAACAGTTTACTGGTGAAAACATGGTTTCTGGGACATGCCCTCTCATTGGTTTAGCAATACGCGTTTATACAGAGTTTCCCCACTAGAAAAAATTAAGAATTTCAGTATACCCACTTAAAAGTGCCCAGTGATATGTAACATATCTTAAGGCACATATCATTGATACTTTAAAAGGCAGTTAGAACACTTTCGTAACAATCTTTCGGTATGCAGCGCTTGTTTATTATTCGCTTATCCAGCATATTATTGTATAATTCTGTACTTACTGCTTGAACATGTTTTGCTTTGATACTGCTTTATAAATTTTATAACATGTTTTTAATACAAAGCCAACTGTTGTACAAAGTTTGTGGTGCATTTGTTCAAATATAAGCATCAGAGAAATTTGGAAATGTTCAATGTGCTTTAAAAAATAAACTCATGATTACATTGCACACGGTATACTTTGGTTTCTAAGCACAGTATACCCACTACAAAAATGTAGACTACTGCGCCCTCTCTCCATTGTTGGATTTTTACCTGGATTATTGGGCATGAACTTTGATGTTTTGAACCTCAGAGGAGTTGAGAGGGCGGGCCCCAGAAACAATCTTATCACCAGCAAACTGTTTTTTTGTTTGTTTTTTTTTTCATTATAGGAGTGTGCTGCTTGTGGGACTCAGTTTGTTTGTGGCTCCTCGGACTGATGAAGTCCTTTGGATGAAGGATGAAACGTCTCAGAAAAAAAAAAGAAAGAAAAACAGTCCAGATGACCTGACTGAACTTTGTTGCATCTTGTGTTAGGTTGACTACAAAATGTGAGAAGTTGTCCTGAAAGTTTCTTTAAAACCAGTTCAGTGGCTCATGAGATATTTTGCTAACAGACAGAGTCAACTCCAAAAATGGACACCAAGGATCTTGTGCATGCGGTTAGTGTTCAGAATATGTGTTGAGGATAGGTCTCAGCTACCACCACACCAAAATTTAGGACGGTGTCTGTTCAATTGATACGGTTGATGGGAATCTGTATTTTGTTCCATTTAGTTGCTTGTGTTTCTCCCCAGTGTTTTCCCTCCTGTTGTCAGCCCTCTCACCTGTCAGCCCCTCTCACCTGTCAGCCCCTCTCACCTGT